AGAAGCACTGCAAGGCTTGTTTAGTTTGTATATTTGGCAAGGTTTGGTGAAGTAGGGTGACTGTCTTTTCCCTACTTCTGAACTTCCTCCCTTATTATATTCTGAACTTAACCATTAGAGGATTTTGTGTTTAATTCTCTTTGACAAAAGCTGTTCCCTTGGAAAGGGATTGCTGTCTAATTAAGCTTTTTCTTGTTCTTTGACGGATTCTAGATTTGTTTGCCAAATCTTTTTCAAAGAGACAATAAGGAAATGAACTTTTTATTTTATAGTATATGAATGCCAAAAACAAATTTGTTACTGCAGGGCAGTCCTCCCTGCCTCATTCAGTTTGTGGAAAGTAGGGAAACTAGCTTTCAGGAGTTACTAACTGGGCGCATCTACACATGCATATTTACTGCACAGTAACTGAAATTACTGCGTGGTATGGGCATGCATCTACACGTGCATGCCCATACTGCGCAGTAAATATGGTGACTTATGCTGACTTGAGTGTAACTTATATACCTGCAAATTTACAGGTATGAAATTTATGCCCGATTAATTACTATGCAGTAATGCACATGTAGACACCTTACTGTGCAGTAACACTGTGTGTGTGGACTAACTAAGGACTAACTTTAGTCTCCGGTCAGTCCACGCACAGCATTAATACGGTTTAATGCCTGCATGTGTAGATGCTGGCCTATTCCCACTTACTGTGCAGTAATTTTAAGCCAGTGTAAATGCACATGTAGACATGCCCACTGAATACAATGAGCCATTACCTTTGAGATTCATGTTTCTTCTATGACTTAATATGGAGTAATATCTGCTACTGAAATGATTCATCCACTTTGTTAAAAGTATGCCCTTGTTTATAACAAATGGAACAGTTTGGTCTTATTTGTTAATGGATAACAAGCAAATACAGACATAAATCAGCACAATGGCATCATTTACTTTTAGTTTACATTCATTCTTTTTATAGATTGCACTTGAGAATAGCCAAGTGTTTTTCAACTTACCCTTAGAGACTCTAGAAATATCTTCCTCTCAAAGACCTTTGAACGGGAGGCTTCTGCAGTTACAAATTTGTGACAGTTCCCATTGCCCAGTAAATCATCCACGGATTAAGTTACAGTAATGTTCTCTTCTCATTCCATTTTTCTGGCAGAATCTTCACTTTCCAGCTGTAGTAATTTTCCTTGTCAATGGAATTCCCTATTTCTGTCAACTTGTGTATGTAGAGAAATTGGCTGGAGTTCGCAAACTCCTGTCAACAATGATAGTAATGGTAGAATCTATTAATATTAATTTCTGCACTTGGCAATGCTGTTTGTGAGAAGTATAAATAGGTTTGTGGAATTACAGATAGTCACATCCATGAAACTCTTCCATCTACCATCCAATCCTCTACTTTATCATTCTTACAATAGGACTTTCAGCCTTTTGCCTGTCACTGGTCTGAATGTGGCCGAGGCTGGTAAGGGCTGTCAAGAATTCTGCAATGGCTGCTTTGTATTTGTAATGTGTTGTAGTCTCAAGCCACTTCCCTGGATTGAAATTAGGCAAAATGAGGTCTAACATTCAATATAATTTTCCAGGTAATTCTTAACCAAACCCCATTAGCTTTAGGTCTCACATTGGTTCTTTTCTTCCTCACTCTGAACTAGTTTTTTTTTTGACTATGTGTATCAGACCTGCAGGAACATCTTCCAAAACTATCCCAGGAAAGGAACAACCATCAACCACTTACATTTAAAAAATATTTCAATAATAATCTGGCAAATCACATCCTCAAGTAAATAAATAATTTGGGATAAATAGTCCCGTGCATCTGAACAAAGCCTGTCTGCATCCTCCAACTGTTTCTCTTCTCAACTCTGATGTCCTTTGTGAAAGGCAAACCTATTTAAGGTAAACCTATTTAACACTTCTTCTCAACTGACCTGTTGAAGTAGGTTTGGCAGGTGTTTGCCAAGTGATGCATAGCAACAGAGTAGCTTAGGTAATGAAGATGCATATGCCCTCTCTCCCCCACCTTCTATGCCTCCTCACATAACCCACACTCAATGGAAGGAGTCTGTCTGCCTTTCTGATACCCACTTCTCTCAAGAAAATGCAAATCATGGAAACAACATGTAATTAAAGGGCATTCGCCTTTATTTTCTGTTTTAAAAGACAGAATAAAAAAAAGATAGTAAAAGAAAAAACAAGTAGTGGCCATACTAATGGATGTTTTTGTTTGTTTTTTTAAAAAGCTGCAATCTGCTGAGTAACTTTTTCTTTAGTGGTTTCTTTTCCTGCAGCTTATTTATCTCCTATTTCTGATGCCCTGATATTATGAAAGAAACCTAGTAAATACCCTTATTGGTATCCTGATGTGGGACAAGGCCCCTTTCAGTTGCATGAAGGGGAAGCAGGAACCACCTCCTTTTTCCCGCTTCTGAAATGCCATACATGCATACTTACATTTTAAAGACAAATGGCCCATATTGTGCTGTTAATAATTTTCACCATAACTCACAGTTTTTTCCTAACATATGAGTCAAGGATCTGTAACTCTGTAAGTTACATTTATTGCTTTTTCATTTCCCTTTTTTCAACTTGAATTTCTCATTATAACTCCGAACCATTTTCTTTCTCCTTGTTTTTCCTATGGCTAAGTTGTGCCCAGCTTCAGTCTTTTCCAATTCCCCCCCTCCACCATCTCCTGCCAGTCTTCTCTGACCTTTTCTGCCCTTGCTCAGTCAAAACATACTGTGTACATTTTTCTCTCTTGCACAGAGTCTGTTTCTAATGCAGTTCTACTCTATTCCTCTTTCCCAAGCTCCTCTGGAGATCTGTAAGGCTTCACTAAAGGCTATCACTACCTACTTCCCCTGCCTTCTCCAGTTTATCTGTGATCCCTATGATGCTCTTACATGTCAAGTTCCCTGCTTCCTGCACAACAGCCAGTTTCTAATGTACACTGCCATCCCTCATGACCTGCCATTTTTTTTGCTATGGGGCACACCTTGATCTTGATGCAAGTCCAAGAGCGAAGTCCTTTCCATCTAATAAGTAATAGCATTGCTATTGTTATTGTTATATAACTGGATAGCTTCCAGTTCCAGCAAGGCCATCAATGTCAATATGTCATGCTAGCTAGCACTACTACATGTCAACTTAATCTAAATAGGGATACTATTAAATATCCTGTATAACCTGTTAGTTCCTAGAAGAATCTGTTGAAGATTATTCAAGAGAAGCATACATTTTGGGTTATTTTCAAAGCTTCCACTGTGGAGCAGTGTTTCTGCACAATGTGGCTAACCTTATACTTTTATTTCAAGTCTCACAATATTTCATGTTGTCATTAAAGGCCTGGATCCTGGAGTTAAGTGAATACACCAAAATGTTAGCTTTCATTTTTTAATGGTTGTGGAGATAAGCTTAAAAAGGTGAGTACTAAGGCTCAAGAGTTACAAGGCAAATACAAATAACTTCAATCTAATTTTTATCAAGATTTATGATTGGGGGGGGATTCTGACTCATGAATTGTTGAGTGTTTGGTATTGGCATGACTCCTTTTCCTTTACCATTACTGCATCTTCCAGGAATGTTCTTTCTTAAAGAATCAGGGATTTAGGTGCAGTCCTTCTACCATTCTTTTTCCTTTCTTTCCACACCCTAGATGAAATTGTTCCCATTGATCATAGTGAGACTCCTAGGAGTTATAAAATAGATATTATTCAGCTTTCTGCAGTGTTTCCAAATAAACTGTTGCTTTAAAAACGTTTCCTGTTCTACAGGTTTATTTCCTTCTGCTTTCCAAACTGTTGGCTGCTATGGGCAGAGTCTGGGCAGATCACAGTAGGGCATGTTTGATCACATTAGTTGAGCTGACCAGTTTTACTTCTGCTGCTGGCTTTGGCCAAGGACCCACTGTTCAGGGCTCTTGCCTCTGCTACAGCCAAGCTGCAGTAGATAATACTTGGAGGCCACCCAAGCTCGGTAGCAATGCAAACAAATAAAAGAAGTTACACAAATAAGTTAGCATTTAGCTGTTTTCCAGTGGTTCTTCCAGGCTTCACCTCCTGGTCACCTCTTATCTTTCAGGGGCTTTGCAGAGCCTGCAGGCTTGTGCAACAAAGCAAATGATCAAGCAAACAAACAAACAGAGAAGACCTCTGCTCCCAGCTCCCCCAATGGCTGCTTAACCCCTGGTAACTCCAGGCTCCCAGTAGCCTGCTCCCTGGCCAGGTGCAGCCTCTTGAGGCTGCATTCAGTGTCTTTTCTCCTTCCCACTCTGGGCTCACCTGGCTAACCTTCTCTCACTCCCCACACCTGTGTCAGCACCCTTGTTTAGGGACTCATGGAGTCCCAGGACCTGGTTTCCCAGCCTCTGGTGAGTTCTCCCATGTTTGGGGTGGGTGAGCAGAGGTGCTTCTGGGGTATGGGGCTGTTCAGACTCCCCCGAACCCCTAGTAACAGGGCAGGGCCCTGTTACACAAGACTATAAATGTTTCCAAGTTTTCATTCCAAAAGTGGAAGTCTGCATACAGATTTATGCTCTTCCAAGAATGTGCAGAGGCAAAGTAGAGACTTGAGTAACAAAGAGAAGAGTGAACCTGTGTGTTCTCTGAAGATTATTCTTCTTTCTGACTGATCTGTGAGACAACTCTTAAAATATGACTGAGCTACATAATTGTATCTTCTGTTGATTTCTTGCAGGCATATAGGTTACTGGGCTCTGACTACCCCAGGTCTATAGCAAAAAGCTAAAGATGCCTTTCTTTTCTTTTTGGTTATCTGATAGTGAATGGAAAAAGCAGTCCTTAGGTGCACTCTAGTTTCTGTGATGAATTCACAGACATTACATAATATACATGAATCTTCTGAATTCTGAATTTTTCATTGCTCAACTGGGAATTATTTTTGATAAGCTGAACTAGAAACCAAACTTAGCACCAATAAATACTTAATGATCCTAAGCATACGTCTAACTGACATATTTTCCTTCCCTTATATAACAGAAACTGGATCTGCAATTACAGCTTCCTGCATTGGTTTGGGGAATTCAACATCACCACCACCAGGACAGGCAGGAAAACCAGTGCCAGGCTACAATGGTAAGTGTGCATAGAGTATGTCTAAAAGTGTTTGTCTGTATCCTTGAGAAAGTGCTTAGGAAATTGTAAGATCACACCTTACGAATGTAGTTGTTGGTCTAGGACCAATCTTAATAGTTCTCCCATTCTCCCCAGCTTGCTTGAGGAAAAGAGATGATTACCTAGGAGATACTAAAGAACTATGCTGAATTATTATGGCTGTTACCAAGTGGCATATCTTGGAACTGCATCAGAGCTGCTCTCATCTGAATCATTTGACCAGTGGGGTAACTCCAGGATTCACTTAAAACAACCATCTCATGCACACACATGCACATCCTGTTGGACTGTCAGATACAGGAAGGCCAGGCCTTACAAGCTGATCCCAGGATCTAGTACATGTAAAACTGAAACCACTACTGCTTCATATAGGTTTGATCCTGTATTTCTTACAGATGCTTGTTTTTTACAGGAACTGTTCAACTCCTGATAAGGTCAGACCCTTTACAACCCACCTTATTATTATACATTTCCTGGAAATGGTTAGTCTCATTCATCCTAAACTAATTTTGGATGCCAAAAATGCAGACATGGGATTTGAAGGTGCACAAGGAATTCAGAACCAGGCCCACTGTGACTAACTGGCTGTTTCAGCTTGCATTGAACTATTCAGTCTGCATGCTCAAGACCAGTGGATTATTGTGAAGATATGAGAACAGTGCTTCAAGCCTTAATCTAAAATGATATGGTATTAAACGATAACAAGCAGTGAGAGCATCTGCTGGCAAGATGTTAGTGGAATCTTTAAAATTTGGAGAGAGGACACGACAGCTAGATAAAAAAAAGTACTTGCTTTATCTATGATTCACTCTTAAGAGTATTTTAGCTGTTATATCTTTACATATTTTCTTCAGAGCATAAATGGTTCTGTTTGCTGTGGCTATAAGCACATCTGTTTAAGAGTCACATCTATGTGATCTTTTCTTTTTCTTGAATAAAAATGTATTAAAAAATCTCCTGATGGTTACGTGCAGGAAGAAGAATCTTGCTGTGAAGTCTGTGACCTCCTCACATATTTAATGATAAACTAAAAAGCAACTTGGCCAGGGTATAACTGTCCTCAGTTTGAACTTGTTTCACATCCCAATTCCTTTTATCAAAGAAGTTAGCCTTTATGTTCAGGCTTCTAGCAGGTCTCGGGTTTGAGAGAGATGTTAAACATATTATCTTTCAGTACTTGTGCAGCATTTTTATTTCTAGCTGTAAGAAATGGTAGGCTGCGAACCTGCATGAAAAGCGAGAGTGCCTGAAAGGTATTTGCATGCAGAGAGTGAAGTCACACAAGGAAGAATTGTAAAATATTTTCATACCTGGGAACTCTGATTTTGATGCAGAGATTTTAGGAATTAGTCCAAGACTGAAAAAATAATTAGATTTTTCAAAGGTCAAGCTATCTGCAGGGAAAGTACTCGCGTTCTTGAGCAGAATGGGCTTGGTTTGCTTTTCTTCTAACACACAGATGCCAGTGTGAAAATTTAAAAAAAACTCATTTTCTGTTGCTCCAGACTTGGCACCATTAATTATTTATAGGAAGGCAAGCATTAAATGTAAGAAGTGGGGGTAGATAGGAGGTAGAGGAAAGGTTTAATGGTTGACCAGGACTCTAATTACCAGGTAACCAGTGATGATTATAATTGCATCTCACCTGCTCCTGAGGCAGTGGCAGTCAGGCCTAGCAAAAGTCAGTGGGAAGCAGAAATATAGAGATTCTGAATTAATTCTTCACAATCTGCTGTTAATGTAACTAAAACTTTCCCTTTGCTTTATTTAGAAAGGAATTTCTTCAAAAATGCAACATAAGACAGATGCCATGTTCAATCACAATCTGTAAAGGAACAGGTATCACAGTAGTTCAGGACTAGAAAGGTTTACAAAACCTATAACCCCACCATTACTGAAATATTGGTTCTTGACATCATAGATCCATAGATTCGTAGATTGTTAGGGGCTGGAAGGGACCTAACAGGATCATTGGGTCCAGCCCCCTGCACTAGGCAGGAAAGACAATTGGGGTACAGTAATCACTGTATTTTGATTACTGTCTTATTCTTCCCCACTTCAGTTGTTTTGTGAATTTTAGCTGCTGATATGACTCGCTAGAAATTTATTTTATACTTTAAAAGATAGACTCCATACTTTTCTATGCTGTAAAACTTTTAGGTCTAACACAGGGGTTGGCAAAATAATACCCATAAGGCAGATCTGGCCCACTAAGAAATTTTATCCTTCCCATGGTGGGTCCCACGGCCCTGCCCAGTCCAGGTATGGGGGACAGTCTGGTCTGTGATGTGTGTGTATGGTCCCTCCACCCCCAGGCATGCAGTGGGGCTGGGGTGGCACAGCAGCCAGACTTACTTCCCAGCAGCACCAGCAGCTGCCAGTGTGAGTCTCCACCACCAGATGCTGCCTGAGCACCAAGGGCGCTGGACAGAGTGGGTGGGCGGAGTCTCCATAGAAATGAGCCAGGACCCCTTTGGGCAGGGCATGCTCAGCCAGGCAGATGGGATGGAGCTGCGGGCAGGTGGGGGGCAGCATCCAGGAGTGGGATGAGAGGGCAAAGCTGGGGCTGGGATCTCAGGGTGGAGACAGTGTGGGACCAGGGCCGGGGGCAGAACCGCAATCTGCTGCCCCCATGTCCCTGCAACAGGTGCTGGTTTCATCAGCAGGGTCATGCAAGGAGCAGATTGCAGCTCTCACCATCCCGTGGTTCCAGCCCCAGCCCTGGCTGCTCATGCCACTCCTGGCCAGGGAGAGAGGGCCAGGGGCTGCTGATTCAGCCCATGACAGCTCACCAAAACTCCCTAAGTGGCCCTCCAGCTGAAATAATTGCCCACCCCTGCTGGTATGGTTCTTAGGACACTGATTGCTAAAATCATGATGCATTTAAACTAGATTTGTGGAGTCAAAATAGAAAGGAAAAAAGCCCATGCTTCCTAGACAGGGGTCAAAATCTTTCATATTATATCAGTTTAAGTACAGAAGAAAGTAAATAAGTCTCTGTGAAATGATTTTGGCTTTGCATTGGTATAAATGTCAGAAGGACTAGGCAATAATTTTAGTTTCAAGCATTTTAACCAGGACTAGGTAGAAAGTAATGCCCTCCACCACTGGAAAACTAAGAATATAGGTGGATGTACATTTTAGCTGCTTTGAAAGGGCAGTAGCTTCAAAGGGGACTGCTTCAAAGGGGACAGTAGCTGTTACAATCTATTACGTCTGCATGATTCCCAACCTTGACTTGGAGATAAAGTGGTTTTGCTGTGCTTTGTATCAATCACAGGTTCATACAGAGCTAACAGTTCTAACAGCTTGTATCAGTATAATTGTTTCATATACCTATGCCCTCTTGTATCCCGTTTATTTCTAGTTCAGATATTTCCTTAAACCAGATCTTCTATTCCAGTGGTACTCAGCCTTTTCATCTCACAAACCAGAACTGGGCCCTGCGCTGCTCCTTCTCAGCCCCATTTGCTGCAGTTGGTCCCTGAGTGCTGGCATTGGTCCCTGGCAGCCTGTGCCATGCCTGCACTAATTCACGTGTCATGATTGGGCCCTGGCACTCTGCATGCTGGCATCAAGCCCCAATTAATGCTGCTACTGCTCACATGTCACCAAATTTTTGGACCCCAAGGGTTTGATCTGGTCTGTGGGCCAGGGTTGTTTGGATTTGAGAGGATTCTTTAATTAATTAATTAATTAAATGCTATTGGTTTCTATTGATCCAGGACTAACATAGCAAATCCTGGACTTATGTAAATTTCATGCCCTAAAGCTAGTTTGGAATTCAAGTAGTCCAGCACTATTCACCAACTTTTACCTTTTGTTTTCAAATTCTTAGAATAAGTGCATACATTACTTTCAGGGAAATAAATCTGATTTGGGAAACCCACAGGGTGTTATTACTGCTTCATTTCCAGGGTGTGGCATGCAAAGCAGGAGCAAGTGTGTGTGCCTTTTTTTTTTTCAGCAGCACAGCTTAGCTCTCTGGTGCTATATTGTATACCTAAATTCTTCAACTGTGATTTCATAGAATCATAGAGAAGTAGGGCTGGGAGGGACCTCCAGAGGTCATCTAGGCCTGAGACAACATCATCCTTATCCAAACCTTCCTATCCAAATGCATAATCTAAAATCTACATGAGACTCCCTTCAACCCTGACACAGCACAAACTAGCACCCTAACCTGCCGCAGGTAAAGCAGGGGAACCACAACAGCCTGGGCACCTCTACATGTGCTCCAGGGGTAGAGTGGGGGGCACTTGAATTTGACTGGCTGCTGTAATTAAAGTGCCTGCGGCATCTCATGTATTGAGCCTCCTACACTTCAAAATGGTGGCAGGGGAGCTTTAACTAAAGCACACCCGAGTCAAAGTCCCTGTCTTGGCTGTAGCCAACACTGAAGGTTTATGAGGGAGGCTTAAAAAAATCCTATCACATATAGCAGAAAGTGGGGGCAGCGGCAATCAGCAAAGCCCAGAAGTACAGGAAATACCCATGGTAGAACATAGGGATAGCTATGCCTAGATCATCTCTGACCAGTGACTGTCCAGTATCTTTTTGAATACCTCCAGTGATGAAGAGTCCACAGCTCCCCTAGGCAGTGTGTTTCACTCCCTCCCTATCCTAACAGTGAATTTTTTTTTCCAGATATCCAATCTGAACTTATTTTGCTGCAACTTCAAGCTATTGGTCTGCATTCTCCTCTCTGCAGCAAGAGAGAAAAGGTGTTTTCCTTCATTATGACAGCTGTTCAGATACAGTATAACCTCAAAAATCCGGATCTCAAAAATCAGGAATTCTCAAAAATCTGGCACTTTTTAAGCATCCCCTTCTGCTCCCCTGGACATGGAAGGGGAAGCTTGTGCGTGGCGGCTGCCACTGCCTTCCACCACCCCGCACTGCCGCTCCGCATGCAGCCACTGCTCTGGGACCAGCCACCTCTCCTCCCCACCCCTGGATGTGGAGGGGGAAGCTTGCACACAGTGGCAGCCACCGCCATCTACCACCCCACTTTAAAAATTTTCAAATTTCTGGTCGGTGCTCGGTCCCGAGCATTCTGGATTTATGAGGTTATGTTGTATTTGAAGACTGTTATCAAGTCTTCTCTTAAGCGCCTTTTCCACAAGCTGAACATGTCTAACCCCTTCAGCCTCTCCTCATATGACTTGCTTACCAAGCCCTTTATCGTCTTTATTGCCCACCTCTGGACCTTGTTTTCTTATGCTATAAGCAGGTATAAGCAACAAATGGCTTTTGTAGATTTTTAATAATTTCCCACGTGAATTCAAGGCTCTCACTGACATTCCAGTGAGGCTGTGTCTCAAAAAGATTGGACAGAATAACCTCTGAGTTCCCATTCACCCTCTCCAGAACAATTCTTGGATTTTCTATGTCTAGTTACACCTTCAGATTCATGAAATAATAAAAGCTACCTGGCGGCTTTGTAAATCTTGGATTGGCTTTATCTGTTTGTATGCTAAGACCAGAACCACTGTCTAGAATGATTTGTCCGGCTGTTAAGGAAGGAATGTTTCAGCTAGGAAATAGCAGATTGCAGGAGCCATGGGTACCCTGGTAGGCACAATGTTACTTCAAAAATCTTTTGGAAGATATGTGTCTCCCTTGTGTCCATACTTCTTCCAGGAACATTTGTTTTTTTATAAAAAAGGGTCTTGCAGCAAGTTGGTTGCAGCTTGATGTTGCTTCTTCTCCCCTGGCCACCCTCAGAAAGCCTATTAATTAAGCTAATGTCTGTCCTGTCTGTCAAGACTTAATGTATTTCTCTCCATTCTCCTTGCTGCTCCCAAGAATCAGCTATTCCTGTCAATATGACCCCTAGGCATTGTAGGGCATGACTGAATAATTGGAACAAGTAAGAATGCTGTAAGTTAACCACTCTTCTTTCTTTCTTGCCAGGCCACCTGGTAGAATGGATTTGATTGTAATAGACTTCCTAGATAACAATTTTATCCAGGAGGAAGTTTCAGCCTCTTTTCTGTGTAAAAGCCCATTAGAGTATGTCCTCATCAGAATATAACCACATTACTGAAGGTGACAAGAGATTGTGCAGTCCACTGGAAAGGACCAAGGATCTCTGGTTTCTTTTCCCAGCTCTGTCACTGTCCTGTAGTGTGACCTCAGTCCATTCATAAGTTACTTTACCTACTTTACCAGAAAATAAACCTTCTCTGTTGTGATGGAAGTTTCACTATACAGGTCTCATCACGCTAAAGGCAGATCATATGCACTTAGAAAACAGTTTTATTACACACACATGGTATTTTGTAAGCGGGCTACATTTGTCCCTAATTGTTGTTGTTGCCATGCTCTGAAAGGATTATTTAGAGGTTCAGATTTCACAGTGTGGTTCACTTTTTTTTTCTTTTAATTTTAATTCTCCTTTCTAATGGATAGCTTTTCATTTTAAGGATTATTGCATTTGTGGCTGGGATGCTAACAGGAGTTTTGAGTTTGTTTAGATTGGTACCCAGCAATTTTACAATTCCTTTTTTGTTGCCTAGCACTGCTCCGTACTGTGAATTATGACTTAATTTGGCATCCATTGAGTTACAGCTTGTCCTTATTTATCTGAAAAAATAAAAGTCTGATTTCTTTCTCTGTTACTTTTACAGTGATGATTTTGGATAATAACAAGCAACCAGCGAAGACCAAGACTTTAGGAAATATTGTGGTAAAGTAAGCAAGACAAAACTTCAAACATGTCTTTCAAATAGCATAGAAATTTATGAGAAAAAATTGATATTCCTTAAAAAAATAGGGCCAGTTTTGGCTGGCTGGCTGGCATGCATGTCTGCATGCGTACGTACGGTGCACTGATAAGAGATTTTGGAGCCAATACCAATAGCTGTTATTTAAAGAGGCATATTGGCCGATACCAATCCAATACAGCTGCCATCAGGTGGTAAGTCTGGTGTGGTGAAAGGGAAGGGGTGTG